AGGAGAGGAAACTGACTGCCATATCTACATAAGCAGAGACCAAGCACAGACCAGGTGCGGGCACCCCGGGGACCTCCTTTCTATGTCAGTGATCCTCACCGGCAAATGATGGCCCCCGCTCTCCATGACCTCTAGCTTTGGCAATGTCAGGACCCAGCAACTGGCAAGCAGAGCCCTGTCCCAGCAGACAGAGGAGAGCCCACCCACAGGCCCCCGGGGAGCACGTCCTGCCTGCCCTGTTGTCGCCCTAACTGCAGTCTCCTTCACCAAGGGCTCCTTCAGTCTCCCAGCATGGTGTGCCCTTTGCATCTTGCTCCAGGGAGGGTAAGTCAGCATCCCCATGTTTACTCAATATTCTTCCAGGTCCACCCTCCCTGGTCCCCGTTTTCTTCCTATTTGTCAGCACTTTTGTCTTAGCATAGAAACACATCTCTCAGGTCTTTCACCTCCAAATCAACAGCTACAAGAAAACAAAAGAAAGCACATGTGTGCACATACACTCACTTATACATACCCTGCACACGTCACTGCACACACTAACCTGCACACAACACATATACATACTTGCACATGTCACCACACACACAAGTATGATATACTTGCACACACATTCACGCATCTGCACACATCACCATCACCATGCAACAACACTCACTTGCAAACACCCTCACGCATTTGTCTGAGGCACTTGGAGCCCAGCTATCGCTCCGTTTACTTTCCTTGTTCCTTGTTCCTCTGGACTCCCTTGAAACTTCCAGCTGAGTTCGAGTCCTGCCTCCTTGAACCTTACCCCCCACAGCCCCACAGCCCCAGACATGCACGTTAAATTAGCTTTTCCTTAGACTCCAGGGAGGGATCATGTACCTCACTGGTGGATATCCCAGTTCACTGGCATTGAAATGACTGTGTGTCCTCTGCCACTACTGAGTCAGCACAATGGTGCAGTTACGACACTGACTCACCACCTTCAAGGCATAAGCAATGCCATAAGCTCCCAGGTACTTGAGAGGACTCACGGAGGCCAGGCTGTTAAACCACCTGGCACAGCTCCTCCCCGTTCCTGGTGGCCATGCTGCCATGATCCCTGTCTCCAAGTCTCCCAGGTAAAAAGTAAGAAACACCACCATCTGTAGAGATGAAAATAACCAGCTCTGGCGAGTCCAAATCTTGATGAAAACACATTTTCTGCCCAAGTACCGTGCCTGGGCATTGCGGATTCTGAGTGGAACAAGGAGAACACGGTGTGATCACGGAGGACAGCAATGTGAATGAACTGTGCACTGTGCTCCCGGAGGGGCTGGCACTTCTGCTTATTAGTGTCAGACATGAACAACTCACTTTGCAGATGAATACAGGGTTCTGGGGTGCACGGCCCCTGGCCAGGGCCCACAGAACCAGGATTCCAACTCATTGCCATTGGGAGTGAGGCCTTGGAGTTCTTTCCACATCATGCATTGTATTAGCTCATCGGAGGAGGAAGAGGATTAAGAGGAGAGCAAAAATGACGACAGCTGCTAGAGTGTCTTCTGAGAAAGGACACACCAGAGGAGCATGTCCTATAGTAAGTCCAGATAACAGACAGAAAATCTACCCTAACCCAGCAGCATTGGCGAGGGATAAGAGCAAAGTCTTAGAGGAGACAGTTCTGCCTCCTCTGCAAGCATGCTACCCATGTGCAAAGCAGGAGTGAATAGAGGCTTCCTCACTTTTCAGAATCGATGGCTTTCAGGACACCAGCTCACTGCACAGTGCCTGGGCTTTCATTGCCCTTGGGACACCCACACTTTTGTTTCTGTTTCACTCCAGGGATGCATTTTAACGGATCACAAGACCCAGTCACCATTTAATGTCAATAAGCAAAGCAAACCCCCAGTCTCACAACTAGTACAAAGTACTCCCCTCAATGCACCTGAGTTCAGGCAGCGTGGGCACAGAGTGGGATTTCAATCCACACACAGCCCCAAGAACCGCACAACACCCTCATATGATCCAAGCGTGGAATGACACCCAGGGTAGCTATAGGCTGAATGTCAGTGCTGTTGGCTTTCATGGATGCATTTCAAAATTAGTGGCTTTGCAAGGCAACTCCCTGTGTAGCTGTCTTAAACAAACAGGAATGTCTTTTTTATTCAAAAATGGAGAACAGGAAGGTAAAACAAGTCTTGTCTGGCGGTTGTACCAGTGGGAGGGAGGAGGACATAAGGAAAAGGTGTAGGAGGATAAATGTCAAAACATTATGTACTCATGCATAAAAATGGGACAAAGAGACCTGTTGAAACTGTTCCAGGTATGGAGGAAGGGGGCATAAAGGAGAATGATGGAGATCAACTATGATATATTGTAAGAACTCCTGTAAATGTCACAATGTCTCCCCAGTACAACAGTAATAAAAAAATAAACAGAATTAGTGAGTGTTTTAAGTCATCTTAACACAAAGAAGGTACTTAAAGCACAGACCCTCAGTCCAACGCACTGGACCCCAGGGGTCAGTATCCTTTCCACATAACTGGCTAGAAAGTTCTTTACCCAACAGAATGCAAGTTGGTGTTAGGAGCAGGTGACCACCTTCCAGAATGGTGGTGAATCCAAGACTGGATTGGTTTCCAGTTTTCTTGCAGAAGTATAAACATTAGGATTGCAGCCATGACATCCAGCATGCAGAAGGAGAGGGCTTTCTGCTCAGCAAAGAACCGAAGCGTGGTCTTATTAGGCTGACAACTACAGGAAGTAGAAGTAATCAATGCAACAGCTGGTGTGAAAGAGCGGGAAGTACATCCACAAATTCAATTTCGAGGCATTCAAGGTAAATTAGTCACATAGTAAATACATGTAATCAAAAATAATTATAGTGTAGAAGTTTAAAAGCTCAGACAACAAAAACTGGGTTCCTTTTGAACAAAAAGGAATCCTGTGCTCGCCTGGGACAGATGGACAGACAAATTGCTGTATTTTATGTTTGTGTAAGATAAAGAGGAAATTTATGTGCTTCGAAATAAGAACACATAGCCAAACAAAGGCAAAAAGAGAGTTCTCACTCCTGCTGGCATCACTCAGCGCCCAGTGGTGGAAGGGCTGCTGGGCAGGGAGGATGGCCCTGCAGGGGTTTGCCTGGTCTCCCTGGTCCATCCTTGCCCCTGTCCTCCTCACACCAGCAAGGCTGAACACTGGCCGTGACCATTCCACAGGCCCCAAGAAAGAAGAGCCATTCAGAGATCTCTAGAACTTTCCATGGGTGTGGTCACTGGACACAAGAAGGGTCAACTACTGTAGGTGGAAGAGGAGAGGGTCAGTCTAATCCCACCCCAGTGCCTGACCCCAGGGCAGCTCCCACTCTGGACCTGTACATGAGGGACCTAGTCCCCACGCTCCCTGGCTGGGCGTGGAGCCAGCAAACTGAAAGAGCCGAGGAAGCTAGGAAGGCCATGAGCTGAACAGCTGGCCTTACCCTGAAGCCTCAGACCGGCTACTTCCCATTCATCCTTGGTACTTGCTGCGGCAGGACCTGAGTCTGTGAACGGCTCCCCCCACCCCACACCCAGTTCAAATCTGAGAGTGACTCCTCGAGGGCTGTCCCCTGGACACAGAAGGTTGACGGTGGATGCTCTTCCAGGCACACCCTGCAGCTTCCCATGGAGCTGGCGTGTGGCTCAGCCACACCACCAGGCAAACCAAAGTGCTTTCATCAGTCAGGCCACTGCCTCCCTGAATTGGCCACTTCAGACTGAACAGACGAATGAGCTGCAGATGTGAGCCTACAGGCTGTATTTGATTATTACACAGAAGAATGCAGTCATGTTCGTTAAAACATTGATCACTCACAAACGACATACTTCTTTTCTTATTTTTTAAATGGGAAAGGAAAAGGCTTCTCTTGGTCTCTGTCAAATATTTAAATTTGTACTTGAGCACAGTTATCTTTCAGGTCCATGTTCTGGGGCAGTCTGGAGTCTTCTCTCACTCGGTGACTTGCAGGCTCACTTGTCCTGGGTTCTGCCTTCACCCACTGGCCATCCCTTCCCACCTCCCAGCACCTGACTTCCATCGTCCATGGTCTCTTCCTATCAGGCCACCTCCTCCGCTCCCCCATTTCCATCCATCTTTCCTTTCTTAGTGGCATCCCACAAAGTGTCACGCACTGCTTGCACATCCTTGGAGACTGAACCCCAGGGAGTTTACTTGTAGGTTAACTTCTGAGTCATCATCACCTCAAGGCCAAGACGGGGCCACATGTCTCCAGTGTGACAGGCCTGGAAGACAGAGCCTTTCGGGCCAAATCTACCTTTAGAACTTCAGGATATTTCAGTTCTTTCCAAATAGATGTCCGGGAGGAAGTTAAACACCTTAGTTTATAGCATCAAGGTCCTTAGAAGAATGTGCCATGGCCACAGCAGCAACCAGTCTCACATTCCTGCTACTAGCACAGACCCATCACTGACTGCATAGGTCAGCATGCAGCCCCTGCAACAGCCTCGAAACCACGCGTCATCTGTGAGGGCCAAAGAGACAACAAAGGCTCAGAATGTCAAGTGCCAATGCCAATTGCCAGTTAGCACAATGAGAGGTAAATACAATCCTAGAAGAGCCCGTGATATAAGGGGATACTCCGCAGTAAAATATACTGGCTAGGAATATATACAAACATACATCAGCCAAGAAACCTTGGGCTCAGAGCCATTTCTGTGCAAAGCAATCTGGCAACTACTGCTCAGCCTTGTAAAATGCAGTCACCTTGCCCTAGAGTCAGACTTGTACCATATCAAGGTCATTCGGCCTCTCACTTGATTCTTAGCCAATATACAGTCAATAAATATTCTTAACCAGCATCTATGGGGTCAGCATCATGGTTTCAGAACTTGTGTGTTGAGAGCACATACTCTGGTTAAAGCAGATCTCTCCTCCCTGGTCTCTGACTGTCCACAGAAGTTGGCTCTGCTTTGAAACACGTCAACGGAGTATGACTACTAAACACTGATTTTAACACTGGCCCACAAACAACCAGCGATTTTCCAGACACTGACTTGGTAGATGGCAGGCCAGCCAAGCCCAAGCACACCCAAATATACAGCTAACAATAAAGCAAGAGGCTGAGTAACCCTGACATGGTGCAAATCTGACTCCAGGATGAGGTGAATGCATTTTACAGTCTATCAGTAGTTGTCAGGCTGTCTTGCACAGACACAGCTCTGAGCTTAAGGTTTCTATGAAGCCAGAGGGGAGCAGCAGTCCTGGGCAACCCAGGAGCTTGGCACTGGGCACAGTGAGGTGGTGGTCATGGTACTCCACTCGGAGCTGCTTTTAGCATTATCTGCCTTCTATCTATAGCATCCCAGAGCGCCTCACTGGACCCCAGCCAAATGCCAGGAAGCCAGAGAGCAGAGCCATGGAGACCCACCTGCTAGCAGCAGGTACCCTCCTTGACCAGGAAGCTGCTGCTGGAGTGTGGTAGGTCACAGCTCAACTGCCTGCAGGTGACAGGCTATGTACTAAATGTGTTTCCCAGTGACCTGCATGTTGTCCTGTTCCCAGACTCTTGTCTATCCCATCCTCTCCAGGGTCACCTTTATGAACTAGTAAACACCTTTCCTGCCTCTAAGGCACAGGCTCTGCACAGTTTTCTATCGGTGCTCGATGCCTTCTGACAAAGCTAGGAGCTGTCAAATAGGACCTGCTTTAACTCTAGTTAATAACCAATAATAAAACAAAAGAGCTCTGCTGATTGAGCAGAGCCAGGCATGAAGACATAGTCTTAACCAATTGCATCTCACTGGTTGTATGTCTCACTCTCCGTTGTTCACGTGGAACAACCCAAGGTTATAGGGTTAGGTCTCCGGTCTCAAATGCTGCAGGGAAACTGATCCATGGAGCCATGATCAAACCTTGATCTTGATCACTACAGAGACTACTAGACCCATATGCATACAGAGTTGTGTTTCTTCAAACTCCAAGGCAATGATGGTAGACCTGTAAGTCTCTGTACAACTGGACACCAAACATGTAACGACATGCTATCGACTGTGCAGGGCTGGCGGGGTGCTTGTCTCCACAGGACACTGTGCAGAGGCTGCACATCACACCCTTATCAGCACGGGGTATCCTTGGGACAGTGGTTCAACTCACATCCAGAGACCATCCTCCATCTTTACTATGAGTACTCTTCTGCAGTGTGTACTATTTCAAACCTGCTGAAACCTGCTGAAGGCACCCAGCCTGCCAGAGCTCCCATGCAGCAAGTCCTGCAGACAAAGGGATTCTGGGTAGACAGCCAGGAGGCAAAAGCCAGAGGAATCTTCTTTCTACGTGATCCTCAATGATCATCCTTAAAGCCATGTTAAATCACATCTCAGCAAATCCAGGCCTGTGGGAGTAAGACCACAGACAGGGACATGGCTCAGAACAGTCCACATGCAACAGAAATCAGGACTGGAGGGACAGTTGGTTGTTAGCATGCCTGCTGGCTGGATAGCAGCCCATCTTAAACCTCAGACATATCTATGGCCCCTCGCAGCCACTCAGAGCCACACCTCACAGAAGCATTTAAGGTACTTGAGTATCAGGAAGTGACACCATCACTTCACCAGCCTCAGGCAGGCAGCTCTGGCAGGACACTGCAGCCACTCCTAAGGGGCAGTGTGCCCCTTGTTGTCTAACACAGAGGGTGCTGTGGGAGGCTGTGTGCTGGCAAATACACTTCCCAAATGCCACTCCCCAAAACACGAATGAATAGGCCCCAAAACTGTATACTCAGAAGAGGACTCCAGTATGATCATCAGATCTGGTCTGACCTGCCAACCCAGGGCAAATTAACTACCAAGTGTTTTCCCTAGATCCAAGCAAAAAGTGAGCGCCCTGCAAAGAGTCCACCCATGAATGCCACCTCGATTATAGCACAGTGACCTGGACACTTCTGGCAGTGACAAGCAGCAGGGTCTTCAGGTGCTCAGGGTGCCTAACCCATGGACAGGACCATGCCATGGAAGATGAGCACAGATAACTCAGTTGGTGGGACAAATGCCCCCTCCTCTTCTCCCTGGGGAAGCCCCACCAAGAGAGGCAGCTACTCAGCTAACCTGAGATGCACTGGCAGATGCTGCTGCCAGCTGTCACTGTGGTCATGCCATTTGTCACACAGTACCATGGGGAGTGGAGATCAGGACCAACATCCACACCCCAACAGGAGGCTTAGTCAGCCGATCACAGGTGCTTTGGTCTACTGCCAATTTTTGTTCACAAAACACGAGTTGATGAGTCTTGAGAAAAGTTTTGATAGGTTTTTCTCTTCCTCTTCAAAATTGAAGTGTGTAGAAAAATTGCCCAAAGCCAAGTTGTTGTTTCCCTGAGGCCATTCTCAGGAATGTGCAGAACTGGAAGCTCACTGCCAGGTACAGCTGCTAAGGTGAGTCCTGCACAAGTCAGTGCTCCATCCCTGTGACAGGATGCTTAAGAGGAATGAACTTAAAGGGGGAGAGACTTATGTTGGCCCATGGTTTCAGAAGTCTTCGTCCACGGTCACTTGGGCCAATGGCTTTTGGGCCTGAGGTGAGGCAGAACCTTATGGCAGAACACGTGGCAGAAGAGGCTGCTTACCTCATGATGGCGAGGAAGCTGTGGTGGTGGGGGAGGGGAAGGACAGGGCTAAGATATACCCTTCAAGGGCATATACCTCCCAATGACCTACTTCCTCTAACTAGGTTCCCCCTCCTGAAAAAGTCATCGAATTATGGATCCATGAATGGATTAACCCATTGATGAGGTCAGAGCCCTCGTGATCCAATAGCCTCCCAAAGGCCCCACCTATGAACACTGGTGCATTGGGGACCAAGCCATCCACATATGAGCCCTTGAGAGGCACTGCAGATCCAAACCACAGCAGGTACGGAAGCCCTTCGCCCCTGTTCTGCCTCACTACCACCCTCCCTTTAGCTTTCTTCAACCCCCAGAAGACAAGGGCCAGGCAGCAGCAGACTCCTGCCTGGAGTGTCCCCACGATCTCCAGCCTCTGCCTCTGGACAGCTGTGCATTCGAATCAGCGTGTATGACTCTGTACCCTGTGCAAACCATTTTCTCAAAGGCTCCATAGAACAGTGGTTTCCAGTAGGAACATACATGCTGCTGCTGGGAAGTAACTGACAGCAACTATCACACCACAAATAGCTCTGCCCAGAGGAAATGTCCCTGCGCCAAGGCTCAGTTCCCATATGAAGAGTCACTGGTCAGAGGACATCAACAGGTGCAAAGCCAGTGACTCAGGTGAAGTCACGAGACTTCAGTCTGCTATCAGCATTTTCTGTCCCTCTGTTTGTGTCACAGGTTCTGCAGTATGGGTCACCACACAGAAGGAACAGAGCGGGGGAGAGGGAGGGAAGAAAGAGGGAAATTGTGCAGTAAAAGACTGACGTTCCACTGTTACATCTTGCACCCTTTGCTTATGCACTCACTCTGTGTTTTATGAACTCATGTATTTTTTCTCTCTTAACTCCTTTTCCACAAACATTACATCTTTATAAGACACAGACATACACACATACACACTGTGACTATGCATTTATATTTCTCAGTCTTGACTTTTGTGGCTTTTTTCTTTCATTTCTACAGTTTCACCATCCTCTTTCCTTAGCATATTTTCCGAAGTTAGTTCTCGTTTTTACATAGTCCCTCTTTTTCAATATTGAGAATGAACCTAGAAGCTTTGACTTTCTAAGCAAGCACTCAACCACCTGAGCCACACCTCCAGCCCTCGTGTTTGAGACAGGGTCTCACTAACTTTTGCCAGGCCTGGCCTCAGACTCACAGTCCTTCTGACTGAGAGGCTTGGATTTTAAATGTGAGCTACCATGCCTGGTTTTATGACTCATTTTCAATGTTTCTTTAAAAATAGTGAAACTCCTTTTCAATGTTAAATTAAAGCATAAATTGTGAAGCTATCAAAATATATTATGGTCAAAAGACACCCTGTAATTTTCTTCTCCACTTTTAGGAAACATTTAGGAAATTACTTAGCTCCTTAAAATTTCTTGGATGCAAATCGTCAATGTTTGTGTTTTGGTTTTATTTCCTGCACCAATCAATCCTGGTCACTGTACCTGGAAGATCCCTGCGGCCTCTTAAAGATGCCATTGGAAAGATCCTTCAGAATATAATGAGCCAATCTTACTAATGTAATTTCATGACTCCTTGCTGTAGCAGATAAAGAGTTTGCAATTTTTCACTAAGTGTTAGTTAGGCCACCCAAATTCTGAAAGTGGTGGACTAAATACAAAACAGGTGGAGAAAAATATGACAGCCTTCCTTGGGGAAGTTCTGAGAAAATGTGTGATTCCTGGCTTGAAGGGACCAAGTGCACCGACTTCAAGTTAGCCCTGGGTCATTGAATGAGAGAAAGAGTCCACTCATATTTATCCTTCTTCTCTTCCTTCCTTCCTCCCTCCCTCCTTTCTTCCCTCCCTTCCATCCTTCCTTCCTTCCTTCCATCCTTCCTTCCTTCCTTCC